GGGGGGGGGGGGGGGGGGGGGGGGGGGGGGGGGGGGGGGGGGGAAGGGGGGTCGGTCAGGTGACGGCGGGGGCGCGGGTGAAGTATCGGCGGGGTGGGGGGGGGGGGGGTTGTGTCTGAAATACGCACATTTTTTCACAAGTTTTTTTAATTGGAGGGGGGGACTACCCAATATTACAATGCGTCTTCATATGTTTGCTATGGCATAGATTCCCCTTGGATCAGCCTTAAACGGGGGGGGGGGAGCAGCTCTAACCATTAGACGATTCTACCTCCCCCTCCCTCTCGAGAGCTAACTAATATCTAGGTTGGGTCGCTGGGGGGCTCGACCGCGAAGCTTCCATTTCTCAGCCCCCTCCCCCACCACCAGGCCGATAGTTCACGCGCGCGCCAGCTGTCACGTGACCGACTCCCTTTCTTCCCCCCCCTTCCTCCGCACGTGCCACTTCTCCCCCCCCTCCCCCCGCGCGCCCTGTCCTCGGCGAGCCTTTCCTAACCTGCGGTCAGCGCGTCTTGGCCTTGCATCCCGACGGGCAGCTCGCCATTTTCCAGAATACTGTAGCCTTCGTCGTTCTCGATGCCCGCGATTTCATTCTCCTGCTGGGCCAGGAAGGCGGCGGCTGGGTCTTCTTCGCTGCCAACCCCCAGTGCCCCGTTTCCCGCCACCGGCTGAGGGGTGCCGAAGAGATCGAACTCGGCCATCGAGCGAAAAAGATCGGGGAGGAACCAACCGAAGCGACGGTCCTAACTGGAACGAGCGGCCAAAAAAAAAAAGGAAATCAGAAACCCGCCGGAGGCAACCGTTTAACGGATAGCAAGTACTATTTCCGGCTTCCTGCAGCTAATCGTCCAGCAGTCAGCAGCCTTTTTCTCCTTTCCTTCCTCCACCCCCCATCCCGGGAAAGCTCCTAGAGTGATGGCCCAAACCCACCAACCAACCGAAGGGAGAGAAAGGCATAAGCCAATTAGAGAGCCTAGAAGGCGGGATTCCGCACACGTGACTTCTCATTCGCCCGTGGACTCTGAGGGCGGGGGGGACGGAGCTTCTGTCTCTCCCCCCTCTCCCCCCCCCCGTAAAGCAGTCTTCCCGCTTGGCATATTCAACGGAGTCATTGAGGCAAAAAACGGATTTATAACGTGAATGGTCTACGGTACATTCAATGAAAGGAGGAGCGCCCAAAGTTGCCTTGAAAAGGAAACGCTCCTTTACGCACCTTTCTCTGAAAAGGGGTCCTAGTAACTTATTGGCACTTACATCGCTAAGCAATTGTGGCTTTGCTGTCACTTTCTGCTGTAACAGAAACAACGAGCACTACTACAAGGAAAAGATTTCTTATCCTCTCTGGCCAGTCAGTTTATTACAGACAAGTATTAGGAGTTGTCTGTGAGTACTTCTAAATCGATTTTAAGAGAGAAGAAAATTTGAGACAAACTTAAAATACACCTGTAAAACTGACTAGAATCTGTGAAGTCTAAAAGGAATATATGGGTTTTGTGGTACCTGAATTTACATAAATTGATTACAATTCAAATTACAAAAATGTGTCTTAAAATTTATGTAAAGTCAGATAATTTTAAAATGACAACTAAAATACCTAAAATCACATACAATGCCTCTGTAGCAGTAACTTGGCCCATTAATTTCCCAGCCCCACTCGAATTTGTTGCAGCTGTTGATGAGTTTTTAATTTGTTTGTATTTGTCTGTCTTTTCGTTTTTTGTACTTCCCCTTTCCTCTATTTAGTTTGTTAGCCGCCCTGAGTCCCCTCGGGGGAATAGGGCGGCATACAAGTTCAATAAAACTTGAAACTTAAGGGTCTGGCGGATCTTACACATTTCTATGTAACTTAGTCAAACAGCTCTATTTTAAATGGCAGTTCTGGCCAGTTTATTGCTAAATGTCTATGGAGATTCTTGGTTATCCAGGTCACGGCTTGTCCCAAAGGTGCTTTTTCAAGAGGCAACTGGGCTTTTTGGTTTTTCTTTGAAGACGTTTAGCTTCTCCTCCAAGAAGAGAAACATCAGAGCTAAAGAAGCTTCTTGGATAAGAAGCGAAACATCGTCAAAGAAAAACCAGAAAGTCCAGTTGCCTCTTGAAAAAGCACCTTTGGAAACTGGCCAGTTTGTTTGTCATGACAAGCAGAAAGGTTAACTTTTTTTTGCAACTGGACTTGGGCACTTCAAATACTACAAAATCTGTAGAGATATTCTATGTAAAGCTTAGTGTAATGAATACAGAGGTAATCGTTTTCTAGTTCTCTGGAATACAGTTCAAAACTTGGTAATGTCAGAACATTAAAAAGTTGCCTTTTTAGATACTGAACACACTTGTTTTGCTTTACATTGATTTAGAAAGCCCTTTATTTGTTCTGAATCCATTTGCAACTGCAGGAACCATTTGTATAATGTTTAAAGTTAATCTTTTAAATTATGTATAGCAAAAACATAACTGCTGTTTAAGTTGGATATCAAAGCAGGTGATAGTTCTTGATTGGCCTTTTCTGGACTTGGAAGCTAAACAACTTTGGATACATTTAGTTATTGAATGGGAATTTATGAGGGAATTCCAGGGCTATAGGCTAGATTGGGAAGCTGAGGTAGTCTGATATATATTGCCATCACTCTAATCTACCCCCTCCCAGCAGTACACAATATCACACTGGCTAGCCCTTCTTAGCATCTTCCTTCAGTTATCATTTCATTATAATATATCCCCTATCTGTTATAAAACAGTCACTTTCTATATTATTGTATGCCAACACATATTAAAAGCATATAAATGGTAAAATAGGCAATCCTTTTTGTAGGTAATCCTAGAAGATCAATAACCTTTGGGAGTACAGCTCAGAATAACTTCTTAACAAGTTGTAACAAATTTTCATTTCCTTTTTCTTCAAAGAAATACAACTTCAGTTCTCCACTCTTATTATCTAGAAATCATTGAGCAATCATTAGTTGAATGACAGAGGTTCCCTATTTTTTTAAGAGCACAGAGGTCAATACCTAGCTTTCTTGGACAGCCACAAAGCTAGAATTATTCAACATACTAAGTCACAAGCTAGTTAACCAACTTAGTTTTATGTCCAGTATGAATTATGGGGTGAGTAACCATGATTCACAGGGGACAGAGTGGCTCAGTGGCTAAGACACTAAGCTTGTCAATCAGAAAGGTTGGCAGTTTGGAGGTTCAAATCCCTAGCACTTCATAACGGGGTGAACTCCCGTTACTTGTCCCAGCTTCTGCCAACCTAGCAGTTCAAAAGCATGTAAAAATGCAAGTAGAAAAATAGGAACCACTTTTGGTGGAAAGGTTCTGTGTGCCTTCGGCATTTAATCATGCTGGCCACATGACCACGGAGACATCTTCAAACAGCGTTGGCTCTTCGGCTTTGAAATGGAGATGAGCACCGCCCCCTAGAGTCAGGAATGACTAGCACAAATGTGCGAGGGGAACCTTTACCTTTTCTTTAGCCATGATTCAATTAATAGTGTTATTTAAACATAGCCATTGTGTAAAAAGATTTCTCTCTCTCTCTCTCTCTCTCTCTCTCTCTCTCTCTCTCACTCACACACACACACACACACACACACACACACAGAGAGACACTGTGGCCTACATTAAAATGCAGTTCTCTCTACTTTGATCTTTCACACTAAGCTGCATTTTTTAAAAAGTGATTTTGGAAGGAAAGGAGAGGAAGGATCACTTTATCTTACATAACTACACAAGGAATTTGGTGAAATATAACTTATGCTCTTTAGATATATCTATTGATTTACAAACTTATTTGTCTACTCTGCTATTACCTGAGGACCAACTAAATGCTACTGTCAAATAATTATTTTACTGCAACAATAGCAACAACTTTAATTCCAAGTGACTCTTCTTGAAAAAATGGCTCCTTTATGCTCCAAATCCTCTTCGTGGAAGACAATTACTATGAACCAATTGTTTTCCTTTCATTGGTTGCAAAGGCAATGTGTGCAGGAAAAGAGATTTCTAGATAAAGAAAATTGACCTCAGGTTTTACTGTTATTTAAAAATACTGCATATATTTTGTAACAAAGAGAATTGAGAGCGGGACATAACCGAGGATGAAAAATGAATAGATTTTTAAATGCTGCTGAATTCAGCTCTCAGGATTTCTTAACCAAGGGCAATGTTGGTTGGGACACTGGAAGCTGCATAGCTAAATTGGATAGCTAAATGTTTCCCACTGTTGGTTTTTATTATTTTTGTGAAAAGCTCTGCTAACTGGGTAGAACCCCTAACATTACATTCTTTTAAATCCTTGTTAGGAAAAGAGACGATGGTCATTTTTATTTCCACACAGAACATAGGAGTCTTAGCACTTGAGAATATGTAAATCTAAATGACAACACCTTTAGAAGTTAACTATTATTGCTTTTTGAACCTGTAACAAAATAGTGAAGAATGTTTCTGGACTTTAGAAGTTGCCACTGCAACAAGTCCAAAATCTTAGGATTCTTCCCGAAGGTTAGGGCATAAAAAGGTGCATGGGTTACTGCTGTGCAATTTCACATAGTCAGGGTTTTAGATGAACTATGCAATGCTTTGCTTGCTAGGCTGCAGTTATAGGTCAAGCGAGAAGCCTGGCCTCTTGTGTCTAAACAAGCTGGTATCTAGGTTTTTATCCACTGTTTTAAAATATGTTTAAATATTTAACATAAAAATCACAGAATGAAACATTAACTACTATATTAGTATTGCATATTATCTCTAGCAGATTATTTTGTGCCTCTAATCCTGGATAAATGCCATATCCCCCTCCTATAATCTCATCCTAATTACGTACATGATAAAGGGACAAAAGGAAGTGTCCATCTATGTATCTGTAAACTGCATTTCAGTCATTCTTTATTGCTACAGGTTGTTTCATTTTGGTTTCACAAATTAATTGACTACAGTTTTTTGGAGGACCTTGCATGGCAACTTAGCCATGCAGCAAGCAGGACAATCAAGAGCTTCTGGAGGCTCAGCTAAAGTCCTCCATTCCCCAGTGCTTTGGTCTAACATATATGCTTGCCGATTGATAGAATACTCCTCTGGACGTTTGTCACCTGGACAAATAAGTCCACCACATACAAACACTTTGTTATTCCCAATAGAACACACTGCATGTGACAGATCCAAACTATAGTTATGTGGCAGCAGAGGCACAAGGCTTGCGGTTTTGTTAACTTTAATCTTCTGCAGATTTATTTCCATGCTCTCTTTGTGGCTCTGTATACTCAAAATGTTCTCATGTGGAAAAGACAACAAGGGCTTATGGTTGAACTGAATGGGAAAAGTGATATACTGGACCACATTCCGGGTCTCCGTGTCAAAGCAGTCCAGCACACCTACTCGTGAGAAGCGCCCATTTACCAGACATCTCCCTGTCACAATGTAAATAGTCTTGTCCCCCTTGGTGATTAGTGCAGTTGCATCCATAGGTATACTCATCTTCCCAGCAAGAGTCCATTTCTCTTTGCCTTCATCGTACTTGTAGATACTGGAAATGTACCTTCTTGGGGCTGTGCTACCTCCTATAGAGTACACTGCGCCTCCACAAGTCACCATGGTATGGAAAACAAGACCAACTGGCAGATCTGGAAGTTTGAGCCATGTGTTGGTATCCATATCATACTTCCAGGCAGTCTTCAGCCCAGAGATCTGCTCAGTAGTTCCTCCAGAGACATAAATGAATTTCCCCAGTGAGGCTGCACTAAGTGCGGCTGCTCTGTAAGGCATTTCTGTGAGTTTCATCCAGATATTCTCTCCAATTACATATGCAAACACCTCATTGTTGAATTTACCCTGCTCTTTTTGTCCCCCTAAGATTACCACTGAGTCCACTAGTGCCCCCTTCCTTTGTTGAAGCATCAAACTTTGAAGATTTCCTTGTTTACGTTCACTCAACACAGCCTCTATCCGGGACAGAGGTCCAGTGTGGTCTGCGAAGAGCAACACTTCCCGACAGGCTGCGAGTAGTGTCTTGGTAGAAACTGCTGTTAAACGTATATAACCAAAGCACTTTTTAAAATGCTTCTCCCTTTCGTTCTTTTTATATTTTATCCACTGAAGGAGAGCGAGAAAGATCTGATCTTCGTTTTGCACGTGAAGATTCTCCTCTTTAAGCAATCTGCTGAAGACATGATAAGGGCATTGCATAAATTCTGATATGCCCTGAGGCCCTACCCAATAATGAAAGTTGTCTCGTATCCCATCATAGGCAGCATTTCTTATGTCCTTCAGGTCATATGTAGTGGCTATCAGAATGTATTGGAGGCAGTTCTCCATTTTGAGGGATCGGAGGAGGAAATCAGAGCAGTGACTTTTTAAAGTTTGGGAACTGAAGTACTTGGCTCCCTTCAGCAGTTCCTCCACATTCTTCTCTGAAATGACAATCTTCCCAGTATAGAAATAATCAAGCAATTCCTCCATTAAGGCTGAGCTCATGAATTTCGCATCAATGATAATAAAGAGTTCGTCATCTGCTTTCATATCATTGCTGGATATCAAACTCCTTATATGGGAAGACATAGCTGCTAAGACGTTGAGGTGGGCATAGAAGACAGTCTGGTCTACACTGAGAGCCACATCACAAAATTCCTTGTTCTTTCTTTGTTTGTTAAGGGCCTGTACCATAAAACTGTTGTGGTTCTTTTCTGTAAACTGCATCTTCATGTTTTGAGCTGGGTCAAGGTTGTCTGAAGTTGAGGATGATGGTAAAAGCCTATATTCTCTTGGCTTGAAAACTTCACTCTGAGTGCAGTGGAGTGATGTCAGTAGATGTAGATACCAGGTCACAATTACCTGTGACCTAAACTGAAAACAGACTTTTGAAATTTGTAAAAGGTTCTGCGCAGCATTTGGATAATATAAGAATGTTACTCCAGATCCAGTATGGATACACTCACTGTTGTTGGTTTCCTAAAGAAGTTGGGCCTTTTCCTTCTCACCATGGCTGTGCAGCTTCAGGAAAACAAGCGCTAACAACAAGGACAGCAAAGACACTCACTACAGATCAGAGCCACTTCCTATTTCAAATTTCAATACTGCTCATCTCCAGCTTTGCTACAAAAGGACAAAAACTTCTAATCAGAGGGTAAATTTCTTAGATCACCTAGAAACGTTTTCCTCAGTTTTATATTATTCAGCATGTTTGGATCACAAACATCACAATTCCCAATCATTTTGAATGGAAGTGTAATTAATCTGCTTTTCCTTTCCCTAAAGGGTAAACTGGCAGAAAGAGAAATAAAATAAGAAACAAATCAAAGCAAATTCTGAAAACATTGAAATAATTCAAAGAACATGGCCACAGTAGTGCTAAATGCAATCCCCGAAGATAATGTTTTGTGCTTGGGAACAATATAGAAGGCTCCCTCACTACGTTTTGTTCTGTAATTGTAGCCAGCAATTGAAAATTAGAAGTATATCTTTTCATCACAATATTCTCAATGTATCAGTTCATTTTAATGATAAAGTATTGTGTAGAACAGGTATGTACTTTTAAATATATATATTTTCATTTGCAACAGTGATGAATTTAACCATTTATGGCTTCAAAAGATTTGAACCAACCGTTTCAATTATTTGTGGAAAACTGGTAATTTTTCAGATTTTCAACATAGGCATAGTACGGTCCTGTTACGTTTATTAGATAATACCTACATGCAATATCAGTTGAAATTTCTGAATACTCAAGAAAAAACACACATAAGCACATTGCACTAGCAGAATCATGGTATCATCTAATCAAAGTATTGATAACTGTTCCAACCTGACTTAATTTAGGAAGAATTATACTGGTGTTCTGCATGCAGTGTTGTTTAGGCTTGGAAGCTCAGCCAAGGGAGACCTGTTTAAATATTTTGATAAAAGATCAGCAGGAATTCCAGGGCTATAAATTAGAATGAGAAGTTTAAGAAAAATCCCAAAGGATAACAGTAAATAATTTATTACACTTTCTACCAGACTGACTCTGGAGAATTTGTATTAACTTCACTTAGTCTAGTACAGATTATTTCTTCACAAGTCACCAAAAAAATTGTTTTCCTGTTGCACAGTTGCTAAATTGCTCTTTTCTAAGAACTCTGACTTTGTGCTCTGCAGAGTGAACAATGCCAATTCCCAGATCTAAATAACTGCTGACTTGCTTCCTAAATCTTTCAGTAACTTCAATGACCTTTCCCTCCTTAGGAATTGCTTTACCACTTTTTTTGTGTTTTTTTATTACTTCCAGCTCTTTTGATTCTATTAGCTCTGGTGATCTTTAGTTCCCCCAACTATTTTTCATTCCTTCCTTCTAAAACAGATTGGTAGCACAGCCTTGGAACGCTGCTTTTTTACTAGCAGTTAGTCTTAAAACAATTGTTTCAGAGCCTTTTTTCTGAGATACAGTATTTTTACATAAAAACACTAGATTTTAATCCACAGAATGTTAGTTGTTGTATGTTTGCTAAATGTGAATGTTAGTAAATGATATTTTATTGTTATTTACCATCATCATTACTACTAATTTATTAAATTTGCATCCTCAATGTCTTAAATTTTAGAATTCCACTTCGCAAAATAGGGACAATTAGAAACATCTGCTTTCAATGCAATATTCTCAATGGTTGTTCGTATGAACACTAAATTATTTTGTTATGTCAGATAAATATTTCTTTAAAAACTCAGAAAATAAATTTGTTATGTTTTACATCTCTGTCTTGTTTTGAGTTTCTCTGTAATAATTGTATCATGATTTTTGAACTCCAGGGCTAAAACCTAATTCTGGAACTAAGCCCCATTAAGGCATGTTTTTCAATCGACATGCACATAATTGTTCACTAAGATATTGTTGATTCTTGTGCTAGTACTTGGGGTTTGGTTAATTAATTATCCCTATCTTCTGCTTTTGCACTTATTAATAACAATGTGGTCTGGAGACATAAATGAGAAAAAAATATTAGTTCTTTAAAGCTAAGTTTCATCTGTATAGGTTATTTTGCTACGGAATTAACGTACTTGTGTAGATGGTGCTTTTAATTCCCTCCTGGCAAGGTGGTAGACACAAATCTTGCTCTAATGTTGTTTCTCCAGGACTTTCCTTTTGTTAAGATGTTACAGGACTTTGTAAGAAAATACTGTTACGAACATCTGGAGAGTGAGTCACCACAAAACTGGTCATCCTCCCACAACATTTTCAGTTTAACTGAAAAGGATTCAAGAAGCTGTGTACAGTGCTGTCTAATTAACAGAATATAGAGAACAAAAGCTGATCCAAAAGAGAAAGAAAGACAATGCTTCAACATTAGGGAAGAAATTGTATGAATCGTATGAATCACACAAATAGAATATATATTTGCCTAATAACAGAATCTGGGGAACATCAAGTAAAATTCCTCAGATAGCAAAAGTTTGGGGATAAAAATATATTTCTGTACTAGTTATGTTCACAAACATACCATGCCATAAACCATAATTTGTGAAGCTATAGTATCTGTGTAGAGAATGGCTAATGTAGAGTGTGTCATGGTGGTTGTACATCTCAGCCCTCCCCACTAAAGCTTTTGATCCTGTCTCTTCAGACTCAACATAGGAGAGCTTTTGATTGTGGGTGATGTGTTTCTTTTTTCCTATTACCACTCAAGCACATGTTTTTATGAATGTTCAAGCTGTTCTTTGAGGAGTTTTGACGTTTGAGTGAAATGAACCTTTTTTCAGTCAAAGATTAGAGTGTTATTCATCTCTTCCTTTTTAATCATCTAGTAGTAGTAGCAGTAGCAACCTTAAAATGGATGCCTAAAGTGTATTTTCAACTGGTTATGCACTAAAAATAACAGTTTGTAAGAATCACAAACTTCATTAAAAACATTGTGGAAGATGGAATAGCCAGGCATTATTAAAAATAAAAAAGAAGTGAAACTGAAATAACTATCACAGAACTTTACATGTAATCTGTATGATAACAATTTGGCTGTAAAAGTGGTGTTTATTAATAACTAAACCAGAGATTGTAATGTTTTCTGATGGTAGCTAAAGCACTTTCTTCTTTAAAAATTGAAATTCATTCCCATACTATTTTAGAGAATGATGGGGAAAGGAGGAACTTGCTTCCATGTGTTTGCATGACTCAGTGATTTACTGCAATTAGAGAACATTAATTTATAAAGAGAGACAGTAAAATTTCTCAACTGTATAGGAAATGTTGAGTTAATCAAGTTCTATTATCACTTCCCTGCATCTTGTGGCTTGGCAGGAGCCTTTGGAGCTGCCACCAGACTCCGACAGCGAGGGGTCTTATGAGTCGGCCCTGGAGGATGCGGAGGACCCTGGACAGGGTTCTGACTCCGAGCAGGGCACAGAGAGACT